CTAGCCAACACCCAATGTTAATCTTGAGAAACTCTGAGCAGAGTACCCAGTTAAACTGCACCCAAAATCCTGATCAATGGATACTGAGATAATATATGTTGTTTTAAGCCAACAAGATAGTAATTTGTTATACAGAAATATTAAACTAATATAAGTAGACAATGCAATTACCTATTTGTTTACTCTCACTATTAATGTCAAATGTCAATGTGTAATGAAATGACGTTTATGGATATCAAAACTTGGTTTTAGTAATTAGCTTTAATCTCTTAGATTCTAATTCATCTTTAACTAACTGACTTACCATTCATGGGTTATATGCTGTCGGTTTCTAAATAGTAATATATTCATGGAATTTCCATTCTTTCTCGCTATCATTCTCTCATAATCCTCCACTACTTCTACTTTCTTTTCCCTCCATCAGTTTGTTCCGTCATTCCTTCTTTTCTTTTTTTAAAAGATTTATTTATTTTGGCCCTCCCTGGTGGCGCAGCGGGTTAAAGCACTAAGAAGCTTAAGCCACTTCAGCATGAGTTTGATTCCCACCTGCCCAGGAGGAAATCCACACGGTGAGGCAGACCTCTCCTGACCGGCCCGCTGCTCCCCTCAGCAGTGTACTTAGTCAATCTGCCTGTTCTGCTCCCCTCTCTGTCTCTGGTGAATCCTCTCAGCCTTTGCATCTCTTGCCTATGCCCCAGTTCTATATGAATAAGTAAATAAATCTTTAAAAAAAAAAAGATTTAATTTAAACTTACAGAAGTGAGGTACAGGCCAGAGGTGCAAAGATAGTGAGAGGCTTCACCAGAGACAGAGTGAGGAACAGGACAGGCAGATGGATGAAATACACTGCTGGTGCAGCGAGCGAGGCAGGAAAAGTCTGTCACACCATGTGGGTCACCTCCCTGTCCCAGGATCAAACTCATGCTGAGATGGCTGCGGCTAGTTTCACAGTGCTGTGTCCCAAGCCACAGGGTCACCAGGAAGGGCCCTCTTTCTTGATTTTCAATAAAAGCTTCATGTCAAGAACCATTTCATCTTGAAAGTTTTGTCAGTGCTTCCATTATAAGCCTCTATAATATTCCTAAACCCCTCCCCCATACCTGCTGGGCACAAGCCTCATGGTGGCTCTGTTTCTAGAAAGTGCACCAGGGTAGCCATTGTCGGCCAGTGTGGCTCTACTGGTGGAGAGACACCAATTCAGGCACCTAATTCAGTCTTTGAGTTTCCACACCTGCCCTGGTTTCTGATTCAGCTATTTTTCAGTGCTTGTTAAGTATTCCTTAGTTTCTTAAGCCTATCCAGTACCATTTGACATGGATTTCTATACACTAAAAAGCAAAGAAGCAACTAATTAAAATGATATAATTATGTTTTATAAAAATAATCCACTATATAATAGCTTTAAAAGCAAAATGGGGCTCTCTCCGGTGGTGCAGTGGGTTAAAGCACCACATTATGAAACTCTCCAAAGCCACTGCAGCATTAGTTCGATCACTACCATGGAGGTGACCCACATGGTGTGCAGACCTCTCCTGACCCGCCAGATGCTCCCCTTAGCAGTGTACTTTGTCAATCTGTCAATTCTGCTCCCCACTGTCTCTGGTGAATCCTCTCACCCCCTGGACCTCTGGCCTGTACCCCAGTTCTGTAAGCATAAATAAATAAATCTTTAAAAAAATAGCATGAGACTTGATAGGCTTATGTAACTAAGGAATACTTCTCACATATATTGGGTCTACAGAAATATATTGAAAATAAAAATATATAGTCTTTAGGACAAATCAAATTTTGTCCCTCTTCAATCATATGTATGTTCTTTGATTACAAAAACAATAACTGTTAATCTTAATGCTAAAGAACTTAAGATAAACATCTATTGCTTTTTAATTAGCTTCTAAAATGAATAAACCCACAAAAAATAAAAAAATAAAACATATATTTTTAAGTTTGTATGGAATGATGGAAACAAGGAAAGTCTTCAAAAAGTTAATCTTTAAATTTGCAGTTCTAACGTAGAACATGGTAAAATAATATCACAAGCCTAGATTAAGATCTATTGCCCCAATCTATAAAATATATGCAGAAAGCATGTACTTCAAACAGAACACTGGTTTAAAAAGCCAAAACTTAATTAGCCTTGATAGCTGTCTTAGATTTAGCGTAACTATTGTCAGCAGAGCAAAATGAATAATCAATGATTAACCTGCTGCTATTGGAAATGGACTACTATGTCAAAGGAAATTTACCTTTTGAGAAACAAAGGGAAACAATATTAAAATATTAAAACAATATTAAAAACTCTTCTATTTTGTTTAATAAATATTGAAGATCACAAAGATACTTAAAATTTGAAATTTCATAAATAAGCCATAAAAACATTCACTAAATTCCTTTACTTGAAAATGCAGTATAAGAATATTTAGCTCTATGGAAAATAACCACTTCCAAAACTACTGTTTATCCTCTGCTGACTGGCATTTTTAAGAAATTCAATTCACCATAGCAACCTGTCTTAATACCAGTAGATAAGTACAGGCTATATTTAGCTATGATAGCTTTCCAGACGGCAATCCTGCCTTTCCTTCATATTTAATGCCATGATCTAGAGACTAAAATATCATTCAGTCAGATTGTAGTGTGGAAGACAAGTACACTCAGAAGGATGAAGCTATGTTTCAGAAGCATGAAAAGAACAGTTTCAACCAAAAGTGGTAAAAATTGTAAAGACGTACATAAAGAAAGGTAAGTAAAAATTTCATGTCTAAGAAAAATACTATCAGTTAAAATATTTTCAATTTTATCCTTTCTCTTAATATGAAATGTGGTTATCAAGTACTAATGATGTATAATATTAAAGCATTATTTCAACTAGCAGGCTGATTTTTTAAAATATTTATTTATTTATTTAAATCTAAAACTTCTATTTGAAAATTTAATATACCTGCAAATTACTAATTCAAACAAACCCTAAAGCATATTCATCAGCAAAAGTAAATGTCAAGTTCCTCTACTTGATCCAACACTTAACATCTATAGGACTGTGATAAAAATAAGTATTTCCAGAATAACTACCCAAAGAAGAGAAACCCTTTACCTCAAATTTATCACAAGTTACATTCTCACTACAAGTCAAAAATTAGTAAAAAGACCAGATGTCTTGCTTAGTGATTTACAATTTTCTCATCTTTGTTTTCTCTAGTGACATTTCTCCTTTATCATGTTCATATAATATAGTTCAGTCAGCTCATTCTAGCACAGTAATTAGCTTTACTATAATGGAAGTGAAAATTACAGAAAAGTCCAGCATGTTACTCCATTAGTTTGCCACAGATTTAGAATATGAGCATGTCACTCTTAATTCTGACTTTTCATTCTTTAAGGTAATAAATCCCTCAAACTTCTTTTATTGCTTCACACTCTTCTAAGATCTCTTGCTCTGACTCCTACTTCCACTCTCTCCCCTGTCCATACATAGACATTCACTTTATTTCTGCACTTTGTTCACAGAAAGCCCATACCTATTCATTTATTTGATTAATGCATACTACACTCTACTCTGGATGTTAATATTGACCAGATAACTTAAGTTCTTCCCAATTTACTCTTTACTTCTCTATTCTATCTTCATTTTTGGCATCAGTGATTGAAATACTTAAGTTTTGTCCACATATAAACTACTTTCAGTAGCAACAGGTCAAGTAGGTAAATCAACACAAATCTGCCAGGAATATTAACACACAAAGCTTTCATTCAATATACAAATCTTATTTTTTTAATTTGGAATATTTATTAATATAACATATGTATAAAATTTTAGAAATCCTTATAGTAGTCCAAAGCACTCATCTACTGCAAGTGATTTTAAGAGCTTTTTTTCAAAAAAAATTATTTTTGACATATTTCCCACTTATTGTTGCAATATGAACATTTTAACTCCAAATATGATCATAAAGTGTACATCAATCAATGAACAAATGTCAAGACATCAAGTATCTAGGATAGAAAATGACAGCCAACTTAAAGAAAAAAAACTCCTACTAGGAGCATATTACTATGTAATGACACCTTTAAAAAATATCTTCTATCATAACAACTGGAAAAAACACATTCCTTCAGGCCCTCCCTGGTGGCGCTATGGGTTAGGATGGAGCGCTGCGAGCTGGCCACAGCTGCTTCAGTGAGAGTTAGAACCCCACCCCAGAGGTAACCCATATGGCATGATGGCATGACAGACCTCTCCTGGCCTGACTGCTGCTCCCCTCAGAAGTGTACTTTGTTGATCTACCTGTTCTGCTCCCGACTCTGTCTCTGGTGAATCCTCTTACCGCCCCTGAACCTCTGACTTGTACCCCAGTTCTGTATGCATAGATAAATAAACCTTAAAAAAATTCTTCTAAATACTGAACATTTCTTTCCCCAAACCTTTACCAAGCAAAGAATGCAACCTTAAAATATGAATTAGTCATTAATAGTACTGTTTGACAATTCTTAATAAAGAAAAGTTCTTTTCAAATCCAAGTGGTAAGAACAAAAACAAATTCTTACTGGATTCTTATTCTAGCCCAATGCCAAGAAACTGATGCTTTTGGCAGTTAAAAGAATGATGTTAAATTATGATAACCAAGACATAAAATTGCATTGTTCATCCAATGCAGTAACAACCTAAATGAATTTTCATTAGGATGCTAAGATCAAATTTGAGATTTAGTGGTAACATTGCTTGATAAACATTATTCTACATTCTGAGAAGTACTAGATTCCCTCAAAACACTACACTTACTTCTATAATCCATTATTCAAGTATAACTGTACACAATTTATATGATTCAAGTCCATATGAACATCCCACAAATTATAATGTAATTTCCCACAAAATTGCATTAAAACAAATTAGGAAAAAAAAATGTTCAACTATAAATTAGTTCTGTTACAGTTCTTGAAAAACTCCCACCAACCATCATGTTTTAAATTATAGTTAGTACTGAAAACCAAATACTCACAAAGAAGGATCTTGTACGAGATCTTTGAGGTTTATCCCACTGCGATCCTCTGCAAGATTCCTGAAGCAACTATCACTCACTGAACAGGAAAGGAGGAAAGAAAAAGAAAATTGATTTTAGTTTATATTAGTTTACATTTGCTGACCAAAAGGATTTTTGAAGTTAAAGAGGCTCTTCAGATAGGGTTTTTCTAAACATCAATATTGATATATGTCTGGGTCTGATAGATTTAGCTAACTCATTAATATTCAATAAATAACCAATAATCTAAGCAATCATACTTTAAATAAGTACAGTGTATAAAAGAATAGGCCCTCCCTGGTGGCGCAGCGGGTTAAAGCACAGCACCGAGAATCTAAAGCCACTTCTGCATGAGTTTGATTCCCGCCTGCCCCGGAGGTGACCACATGGCGTGGCAGACCTCTCCTGGCGCGCCCACTGCTTCCCTCAGCAGTGTACTTCGTCAACCTGCCTGTTCTGTTCCCCACTCTGTCTCTGGTGAAGCCTCTCACCGCCCCTGAGCCTTTGGCCTGCACCCCAGTTCTGTATGCACAAATAAATAAATCTTAAAAAAAAAAAAAAGAATAAATATGTGGGTCCAACTTTTGTTCTTACTTTTGCAAGACTAATTCACTAGCAGATTATGGCAAGTTACTACCCTCACAATAACTAACTAGAAAAAAGTGGTAACTTATCTCCCCAAATCACATATTTAAATATAACAGAGCACAAGGGAAGCAAAATGGATAGACTCAGAGAAATATGATGTCTCTTCTAACGAAAGCTCAGCCATTTGGTTTAGTTTTTGATGGGAATTGCCATTTAGAATGCAAATTAAGAATCACAAAGAGGCATGCTACTAGGTAAAGGAGAAACCAATATAGTCCCTGATAATTTATGTGTTGGCATAAGAGATTGAAATTTTATGTACTCCCAAAACACAGACCCTCTCCCCTAGGAAATTTGATGAGTACTAATGTTGCAAAAGAGGATTAAGGGGAGCACAGTAGAGAAGGGTTCAGAGGGCAAATACTGTATTCTTAGTGTTGTGGTGATTAGTAATCAAAACATACTAAAACAGTTAAAGCCTACCAGTTTCAGTGTAAAATTTCAATAGAATTCTCAAGCATTTGTTCTCAACCAAAAGCCTTGCATCTTAAGAGGAAGATGACTTACGGGGCCCAAAAAGTAGAGAAATATTTCCCACAATTTCACAGTACTTAACTGTGAAATTATACTTGTATAGCTGTGTATACCCATAATGCAACAGGTCTTTCTTTTAAATCCAGAGATAGACTAAACATAGCCAAAGATATGAGTCAAACCACCTAATTCAATTTGTGGTTGCATTGAGATTACCGATCTTTTTTTTTGATGCAGGATTAAAAAAAATTAACTTATAATAAACAGGGCATGATATACAGCAAAAAATTACAGTGTATAGGAAAAAGCACAAAATGTGATCAAGAAACCAAGTGACACTAGGCTGCCCAAGGATGATAATTAGAAAACAAAGACTTGAAGAAACCTATTTAATATAAGCTAACTATAGGAAAAATGTTCAAATAGATAGAGGTTATTTCAACCAGAATTGCAATCTATGAAAAAAATCTGAAATTAAATAATCAATAAGCCCCCCCCAGGCGCAATGGGTTAAAGCACAGCACTAAGCAGCTAAAGCTGCTTCAGCAGGAGTTCGATCCCTGCTCCCCGGAGGTGATCCTTATGGTGTGGCAGACCTCTCCTGACCTGCCCGCTGCTTCCCTCAGCAGTGTGCTTCGTGGATCTGCCTGTTCTACTCCCAGCTCTATCTCTGGTGAATACTCTCACTATCTATGCACCTCTGGCCTGTACCCCAGTTCTGTATGAATAAATAAGTCTTAAAAAAATCAATGAGTAAGTTTTATAGCTGAATCAATACATAAAACACAGGATTAATATGAACCTGAAGACACAAGCAAAAATAAATCCAACTGAAGAAAAGATAAAAAGAACAAACCATATGAGACATGTAGAAACCAAACTATTCAATGGAGCTGCAGATGAGAAGAGAAAATGGGGAAGAGTAATAATTTCATAGAAAACAGCTGAAAATACTCCAAGACATTGACCCGCTGAATCAGGAAGTACAAACAGCCCCACACTGGGATTAAAGAAAATCACAAGCAACACTCAAACAGCAGAAAGTCAAAGTCACAAAGAAATTTTATGAAAGAGCAAGGAAGGGGAAAAGGATGTAAAATCCTGAAAAGAAAAACGTAACACTTGACACTTAACAATTTGACAAACTATGGAGTCCGGAAGACAATGGAATGATGTATATTTAAAATGTGCAGATGGGAGCAAGGAAGTGAAAGGTGAGAGAGGGTGAGGGGAGGATTTGAAACAACTTCAAACCCTATAACATTTTAGTTTCAGGAAACTCAAGAAATTACTTTTATTCTGCTTTTTTGCCCTTAGGGATACATTTTATTAACTTCTTTCTTTACCAGTAGAACACTTCTTAATCAAGCCCCTTTAGGGGAAAAAAGGCGGATTAAGCCTCTCTTTTTATACCACCACCACATTACAGATGTCATCACTACCTGATTCGTCATAAACTGTAATTTTCTTACTTGTTTTTATTAATTTTTCTTAATTGTATTTCTAGCTCACATTTATTTTACTGTTTAATATCAGAATTGGTTTGGATCTTATTAGAGGTTTGGCAACCAGATCATGTGTTTGTGACCAGATCATGCTTTCAGAACCTAACTCTTATTTATATAAATCAGTCTGTGATACAACTGGTTTTGTTGTACCTATTGATGGTCTTAGTGAGGACTTGCTGTAACTTTTCTTTCCATATTTTAGATACTGATCTAAACCTGTTGACGTAAGACAAATCTGCTTTCCATAAATGTAACACAAATGCCCTCCCCCCACCACCATTTTCGAAGTAGAGCCAAAAATGAAAAAAGCTAAATGTTGGCACACTGTAAGAAAAGTTAGTGTCCAGCTGAGCTGAACTAAAATTGAAGGTATAATATATTGTATCATAAAATGTGTTCACATAAAGTTTTGTGCCCAATTTGGCAAATATGAGAGCGTAGTTATAAACTTCAAGAAGCTAAAAGTTTTGTAGGCTTAATTAAAATGGAGTAAACCTTTGCTCCCATAGAGTCTTGCTAGTCAGCTATCTCTGAAATAAGTTTTGGTAAAGATGGCACTTTTCTAAAACTCATGTCCCATCCAAATTTGAAGTTGAAAAATGATCAAGAAATCTTAAAAGGTTGTCAACAAAAAATTTTGAAATTTGAAACTTTTGTTAATAAAATATATCTATTGTTTTTATTTATATTTTTCAGAAATGCAACAGATTTTGTTTTTGAATATTTTAACAAACTGGTGAACATATTTTTTCAAGTGCAAATCAAAGCAAAACGTGTTTTTAGTCATCATAATTTGCTTTTTTCCCTCCAATATATACCAACTAAAGGAATTACAATGTTTTTGTCTCACTGATTCATAAAAATTCTTCAACGCTTTATCACAAGGACCAGATAAGACAAGAAAAAATGTAATACAAACATGTAGTTAAGCTATCGGACAAACATGAAAATTATAAATTTGTCCTTCCATCTGGTTTATATTGCTGTAATAATTAAAGTGGAACAAAGAAAAATTAGAAATATTTTGCAAAATTGACTCTTTAGTAAAATTTTCATCCAAACATATCTTTTTTTCCCTGTAAATGTTCACATTTCAGATCTATAATAAAAATGACTGGTGTTCATTATGCTAAGCATTTCTTTATTTGTTATCATATTTAATATTCAGAATCACTCAATGATATAAGTATCTCCACTTTAAAGATGAGAAGAGTAAAGATGGGAATATTAAACATCCTGCTAAAGAACATATATAGTGAGAGCTAATAAAGCATTTTTTCATCTCAGCTGTAATCCCCATGGCTTTCCACCACCAATTCACCCGTGTGCAATCATCACCATAATCCAGTGCACTATTTCCACCCCAGTTCTGATTCCATTCCCCTTTCCAGCAGGATAAAATGTCTCTGATTTATAGTTGCTCATTGTTTTTGTTTTTACTCTATTCCTTTGTTTCTCTTTTCCCCTAACCCCCACCCTCCCAATTCCTTACTCTCCTGCTATGAGTGAAACCATCCAGTATTTTTTGTTTTCTTTCTGGCTTATGATCCTTTCCAGCTCCATCCATGTTGCTGCAAAAGACACAAGCTTATCTTCTTTTTTTTTTTGATTGCTGAGTAATGTTCCATTGTATATATATTTCCACATCTTTTTAATCCAGTTATCTATTTTTTGGCATTTGGGTTGAGTCTGTGTCTTCCCTATTGTAAATAGAGCAGCAATAAACATGGGAGCACTGGTGTCTTTTTGAGTCGAGGCTTTGTGTCCTTTGGGTAGATACCTAGGAGTGGAATTGCCATATGGAAGTTCTAGTTTTAGCATAATGCTATTCAGAAGATAGTTCTCATTGATTTCTCATTATGTTCTGCATTCTTACATATTTCTCTGAAAGAAATAAAAGTTAGGCAGTTGAAACTCCTTATGAGAGTAAATGTCAACTCAATGTATCTTTAAAGAATTAATTTTTTTAAAACTGAATGAAACATTAGGAGTCTTCTAGTTATATGGCTCATTAACTGCTTCACATCGCATGGGCCCTATGGAGATACTCCTTTTCTCCTTTAAGCTAAAGAACTCCATTTGTGTTTTACATAATAGATTGTTTTGAAGATTATATTTGAAGAAATTTTAGTAAAGATCTTTATAGGATCAGAGACATACACATATAAAATATCTCAAAATAGTATTAGTTGTAATTTCCTTTATTTTACAGATAAGAATAATGGTTAACCTATCATTATCAAGAGTCAGCATTCAAACAGCGTATACTTATAAATATCTGTAAAATGAACACTTAAGAGTTATCAGCTAATAATGGTAAGCAACTTTTACTGTGTATATTCATCTTTCTGTTCTATACTGAAATTTAACTTTACGTGCTAAGCACTTTGTGGTCATTTTCTAGCTTTTTTTTTTTTTTTTAAGATTT